GGGCCGCGACAGGAGCGGGCGGCGGGGCCGCGGTCGAACAAGCGGCTGGGGCCGCGGTCGTAGCAGGCGGCCGGGGCCGCGATCGTAGTGGGCGGCGGCCGCGGCGAAGCGGGCGGCAGGGCCGCGTCGAGCAGGCGGCTGGGGGCCGCGTCGAGCAGGCGGCTGGGGGCCGCGACAGGAGCGGGCGGCGGGGCCGCGGTCGAACAGGCGGCTGGGGCCGCGGTCGTAGCAGGCGGCCGGGGCCGCGATCGTAGTGGGCGGCGGCCGCGGCGTAGCGGGCGGCAGGGCCGCGTCGAGCAGGCGGCTGGGGGCCGCGTCGAGCAGGCGGCTGGGGGCCGCGACAGGAGCGGGTGGCGGGGCCGCGGTCGAACAGGCGGCTGGGGCCGCGGTCGTAGCAGGCGGCCGGGGCCGCGTCGAGCAGGCGGCTGGGGGCCGCGTCGAGCAGGCGGCTGGGGGGCCGCGTCGAGCAGGCGGCTGGGGCCGCGATCGTAGCGGGCGGCTGGGGCCGCGACTTAGCGGGCGGCTGGGCCGCGTGTGGGAGGGAGGCGACACGGAGGGTCGCTCGATAGCGGAAAAAAAAAAAAAAAAAAAGTCGAGCGCGCCTCGGGGCGCGCTTCGGTGGGCCCTAGGCAGAGTTCCACAGGGAACCCGCTCTATACCATGTGAAATGAGTAAGCAGGAATGGAATGACTAAGGAAAGATTGGGTACAAATACAACCCTAGAAACCCTGTACCCCATATGTGCTACCCCACTATAGCCTACAGCAACTATGTCATATGAATCTGACAACAAGCCCTTTTATCCTAGTGGTCTAGTGGCTGGGATTCCGACATGGTATCAGAGCGAAGGTCTCGGGTTCGAATCCCAGTGTGTGCACCTCGGGCATCTCAATGCGGGGGGGTGTCAGAGGTCCACTGGAGATCCCCGATTGATCCTAGAGAAGGGTTACAGGCACGTTGGCCTGGGGGGTTCTGGGCGCACTGACCCGCTACTTAACAAGCCCTTTTATCCCAGTGGTCTAGTGGCTCGGATTCTGACATATTCCAGTCGCTCAAGCAGGCTCTGGCTTGCAGCCCGCAGCCGAGCAAGCCAGCTATGGGCAGCACCCCACAGTTGATGCGCACATCGCTGGTCAGCAGCAGGGAAGCGGCTCGCCAAGCTACGGGCTGCAGCAAGATGTTGGCGCCGCCAGCACTGGTCAGCAGCAGGGAAGCGGCTCGCCAAGCTACGGGCTGCAGCAAGGTGTTGGCATCGCCAGCACTAGTCAGCAGCAGGGAAGCGGCTCGCCAAGCTACGGGTTGCAGCAAGGTGTTGGCGCCGCCAGCACTGGTCAGCAGCAGTGAAGCGGCTCGCCAAGCCACGGGCTGCAACAAGGTGTTGGCGCCGCCAGCACTGGCCAGCAGCAGGGAAGCGGCTCGACAAGCTACGGGCTGCAGCAAGGTGTTGGCGCCGCCAGCACAGGTCAGCAGCAGGGAAGCGGCTCGCCAAGCTACGGGCTGCAGCAAGGTGTTGGCGCCGCCACCACTGGTCAGCAGCAGGGAAGCGGCTCGCCAAGCTACGGGCTGCAGCAAGGAGTTGGCGCCGCCAGCACTGGCCAACAGCAAGGTTGCGGCTCGCCAAGCTACGGGCTGCAGCAAGGTGTTGGCGCCGCCAGCACTGGCCAGCAGCAGGGAAGCGGCTCGCCAAGCTACGGGATGCAGCAAGGTGTTGGCGCCACCAGCACTGGTCAGCAGCAGGGAAGCGGCTCGCCAAGCTACGGGCTGCAGCAAGGTGTTGGCACCGCCAGTACTGGTCAGCAGCAAGGAAGCGGCTCGCCAAGCTACGGGCTGCAGCAAGGTGTTGGCGCCGCCAGCACTGGTAAGCAGCAGGGAAGTGGCTCGCCAAGCTACGGGCTGCAGCAAGGTGTTGGCGCCGCCAGTACTGGTCAGCAGCAGGGAAGCGGCTCGCCAAGCTACGGGCTGCAGCAAGGTGTTGGCGCCGCTAGCACTGGCCAACAGCAAGTTTGCGGCTTGCCAAGCTACGGGCTGCAGCAAGGTGTTGGCGCCGCCAGCACTGACCAGCAGCAGGGAAGCGGCTCGCCAAGCTACGGGATGCAGCAAGGTGTTGGCGCCGCCAGCACTGGTCAGCAGCAGGGAAGCGGCTCGCCAAGCTACGGGCTGCAGCAAGGTGTTGGCGTCGCCAGCACTGGTCAACAGCAAGGAAGCGGCTCGCCAAGCTACGGGCTGCAGCAAGGTGTTGGCGCCGCCAGCACTGGTCAGCAGCAGGGAAGCAGCTCGCCAAGCTACGGGCTGCAGCAAGGTGTTGGCGCCGCTAGCATTGGTAAGCAGCAGGGAAGCGGCTCGTCAAGCTACGGGCTGCAGGAAGGTGTTGGCACCGCCAGCACTGGTCAGCAGCAAGGAAGCGGCTCGCCAAGCGACGGGCTGCAGCAAGGTGTTGGCGCCGCCAGCACTGGTCAGCAGCAGGGAAGCGGCTCGCCAAGCTACGGTCTACAGCAAGGTATTAATCAGCCCATTGCCAATGTGCCACCAGGCAATGCTTCAACCAGCGCAGCCATGCACCACGCCAACGCTTTCGAAGAAGTGGTGCTGGAAGAGGCGTACCACCATGTTGGAGCGAATGTACTTGTCCCCAACCCCTTCGCTGATTGTGCCCCTGGCCACGCTGGTGACCTAAGGGCGTGTAACCATTTTGCATTTTGTGATTTTGGCGTACCGTCCGATTATATGGAATCGGACGGTACGTTTATAACAAAACGGACTGTCCGATTTGAATGTTTGCAACTTCGGACGGTACGAATGCATATGTGACACTTTTTCCACATGCTAGGGTTCCGCGATGGTTTTCCCTTCGCCATCTCAAATGTACACCAGTAACGCCAGTCACAACCCATCGCAATTTTCGCCTGTTGAGTTCAGCGCTTCGGACAAACATAGGAAATTTTCAAACAAGCACAAAGGTCAATGCCGTGGCTTCTTGTATTGTAGTATGGCTAGTTGTGATTGGTCAATGTCAATTTTTGCATCCGAGTCGCATTTTTCCATGTTTTGGCGAGGCGGTCCGCTGAAATCCATTTTCGCCCGCCAATCGCGTGCGCGGACAGGCGGACAGTTTGTTTGTGATTCGGACCGTCCGTTGTCAAAGTTTCGTGTCGTTGGAAAGCGGAAAAAGTGTCATGACGGTTCGAATTTGAAGCGACGTCACATACGTCCGCGCGAAGAACTGCACGACGTTAAACGATAATGGTAACCCTTCGCATCGACGTACGGTCCACGGTTCGTTCCGTCGAGTGCAAAATGGTTACACGCCCTAATCGTAGCATCAGATGACTATATAGCGGAGATCCGCGAGTTGAAGCGAAAATTGAAAGAGAAGGAAAACGAGAACCAGCTCCTTCGTCGGCGTTCTCCTGGATCCTCTAGCGGTGCATACGGAAATGACACCAACCGAGAGGATAGCGTCGGTCGGACCGAGCCAGCTGCCCCTGGACCATTAACGAGTGCCCGAGAGCCCCGCCAGGTAAGCCTAGCAGTGAATAGCATGCGATCATATCACCTCCAATATTCGATTCCGCTTGCATCACATGCTAGATGTTGTAAGAGCACCATGCAGTACCATGATGGTAACGACGCTTCTCCCTTGTTCACTTGCTGCCTGTTAGATCCTTTCGCAAGCAAAGATTGTCAGAACATTGTAGCTTATACATTTTGTGTAGGCTATAGTGGGGTATCCCATAGGGGGTGCAACCCAATTAGGGTTAGTACTTGTACTCACTTCTTTCATAGTTCATTCATTCTCGTTTCAGTTTTCTCAAAGATCACACCATGCGTTGCCAATCCCTTCTATTTTCCCTACACGTTGACCATGTGTTCTGTCACACATGCAGACCCCCCCTCAACATGTGGCAGGTCCGTACATGGGTTCTATGACAGTCTTGAGTCGGGCAGAGATAGCTAAACAGCTATCTGTTGCCAACAAAATTGGTTTGCAGTTCACGATGCACTATGTGGCACCACAGGACCAAGACTGGACCTGCGCAGTGGACCGTGCAATGAAGGCCATCCCAAACGTCAGAACTGGACTTCGTGTAAGTCTAAACCTAAGCTCAAATAAAACTGCCTATTCCATGTGGTATGTCACCATTGCTGCTTGTATGTGTTGCTTGGAAGTGCTGCTTGCTAGTGTTGCTTGCACCTGCTGCTTGCACATGCTGCTTGCAAGTGCTTCTTGCATGTGCTTCTTGCAGGAAGTGCTTGCATGTGCTGCTTGCATGTGCTGCTTGCACGTGTTGCTTGCATGTGCTGCTTGCACGTGTTGCTTGCATGTGCTGCTTGCACGTGTTGCTTGCATGTGCTGCTTGCACGTGTTGCTTGCATGTGCTGCTTGCACGTGTTTCTTGCATGTGCTGCTTGCACGTGTTGCTTGCATGTGCTGCTTGCACGTGTTGCTTGCATGTGCTGCTTGCACGTGTTTCTTGCATGTGCTGCTTGCACGTGTTGCTTGCATGTGCTGCTACCACGTGCTGCTTGCACGTGGTGCGTGCAGGTTCTGCTTGCACTGGCTGCTTGCCAGTGCATATTGCATGTGCCGCTAGCATGTGCTTCTCGCATGTGCTGTCTGCATGTGCTTCTCGCATATGCTCCTCGCATGTGCTGTCTGCATGTGCGTCTTGCATGTACCGAATGTATGTGGTTCTCACATGTGCCGCGTGCATGTGCTTCTTGAATGTGCTGATTGCATGTGCTACTTGCATAAGCTGCTTGCGAGCATGTGCCTGCTCGCATTGCCCTTCCAATGCAATGCAAACCGTTTTAATTTGTTCCCCCCATGCTTGTAGTGGCTGCATTTCTCCATGCTTTGTTCTTTATGCCCCTCTCATGACATTTGATCGCAAACTTCACACCCGTAGGGAAAAATGATCCGCACCAGGGATGTAATTTTTTGGGAGAGAGCTGACGTCGACATCACCTTTTACCCAAGTAGGAGAGCATTGCTGCAGGCGATGGGTCAGGCCTTGGGCTCTACCCAGCAATGGCAGTATGATCAGCTTGAGCTGGTCTATGAACTTGACGGGCTTCGGACAAGCTACATCCGCAAGTTTTTCCAAGACTATCGCTTCGACATCCTCGCTCCTGCTCGTGTCATTGTGATCAAGGCATTCAACATTGACACCACCGTCGGTGTGCGCGAGCCCGGAGTTAACAACGGGAAGATGGAGATGTCGGCGTTTTGTGGTACCTATCGTGCAGGTATGTAAGCCAACTTGCACCATCTTCCATTTCTTCATCTGCCACCCTGTGTATTTCCACACACACTCCTACATATCCTTATCTCCCATCATCTTGCTAGTTCCTCCCGGGTTTGTGTGCTACCTCTAACTATTTATTGTTTTATCATACATCTCATAAGTCCTTATGTATTTGCTGTGCGTACGGTAATTGCAATAATTCGGTTACTCATTTTCACATCCCTATTCGTGTTCCCATGCTAACACACATACATATCCTCTGCTACCCAAAGCATAATTGTATTCATCCCCTCCTTTCCCCCCTCCCTTCAAATCCCATCTCCCACCTGGATTCATCCCTTCTTTCCCTCCCTCCCCCTTCAGATCGCACCCGCCCCTGAATTCATCCCTTCTTTCCCTCCCTCCCCTTCAGATCGCACCCCCCCCTTGGATTCATCCCTTCCCTCCCTCCCCTTCAGATCGCACCTGCCCCTGAATTCATCCCTTCTTTCCCTCCCTCCCCTTCAGATTGCACCCGCCCCTGAATTCATCCCTTCTTTCCCTCCCTCCCCTTCAGATCGCACCCCCCCCTTGGATTCATCCCTTCTTTCCCTCCGTCCCCTTCAGATCGCACCCGCCCCTTCATCCCTTCTTTCCCTCCCTCCCCTTCAGATCGCACCCGCCCCTGAATTCATCCCTTCTTTCCCTCCCTCCCCTTCAGATCGCACCCGCCCCTGAATTCATCCCTTCTTTCCCTCCCTCCCCTTCAGATCGCACCCGCCCCTTCATCCCTTCTTTCCCTCCCTCCCCTTCAGATCGCACCCGCTCCTGAATTCATCCCTTCTTTCCCTCCCTCCCCTTCAGATCACACCTGCCCCTGAATTCATCCCTTCTTTCCCTCCCTCCCCTTCAGATCGCACCCCCCCTTGGATTCATCCCTTCTTTCCCTCCCTCCCCTTCAGATCGCACCCTCATCCCTTCTTTCCCTCCCTCACCTTCAGATCACACCCGGCCCCTGGATTCATCTCCTCCTTTCCCCCCTCCCCTTCAGATCTCACCCCCCCCGGGATCATCCCCTCCTTTTCTCCATCGCCTACAGATCGCAAGCCCTCCCCTCCCCCAACTGAATTCATCCCCTCCGTTTTTATTCTCCAGCATACGCCCTCTATTCTAACACCGCTCATGCTCCTCCCATCACAGGTGTCGCAACACTCCCATAGACGATCTGTCCATCAAATGCTTTTATATGCACTTTTCATTACAAATCCCTCACCCTAAACCAGACGCGACATCACATGGTTTGATGACATGGGGCAGGAACAAAGATGGCGTGCCTTTCTCTACCGACCTTTTCATTCGAGCCATCACCGCTTCGTTCCTGCGAGAGGGTCATCATTCTGAATCTGAACCTTATCGCGTACTGGTTAATGGGGGTAAGTTCCCCTTTGTTTTGTAGTTCATGCTCTTTTGTAATGTTTTTTTGTTATTGAACAGAGAGGTTTCTGATTTTAAACATTTATTTTGAGCAGGTGGAATTTAAGCTCAGGTTTGAGAAGGATCTACCCAAAAGCCATAATGATAATGGCGATGAAGTTGCAATCTATCATTCCCAAGTGAGAAACTGGGCTCGTGCTGCCATTCACGCAAGGACAGCAGCAACAGGGCCAATTTGGAAGCCCACTGTGAGCGAACAGTGCTGTCAGCAGTAGCAGGCGGGGCAGGAGAGACACCAGAGGTGAGATCGAACAGGGAGAGTCTATCTGCCCTATCGCACTGTAAGAACAGCTGGAGGTCATCGACCCAGACCTCAAAGTCAACAGCACGACCCTCAGTCTCAAAGGTAAGGACACTGGGGGTAGCCATGACTGTAGTGGCATAGCAGGGAGTGAGCTCATCAGTCCAAGGGAGTAGGGCCGGGGCGTGCCAGTAGGAACAGTAGTGGCTCGACGGCTAGGCGGCTCGGCGGCTCGGCTGCTGGGCGGCACGGCGGCTCTGCGGCTCGACGGCTCAGCGGCTCGGCGGTTCGGCTCTTGGGCGGCTCGGCTGCTCGGCGGCTCGGCGGCTCGGTCGCTGGGCAGCGCGGCGGCTCGGCGGCTCGGCTGCTGGGCGGCTCGGCGGCTCGGCTGTCGGGCGCCTCGGCTGCTGGGCGGCTGGCGGCGTGGTGGCTCGGCTGCTCAGCTGCTGGGCGGCTCAGCGGTGAAGGGGCCGGTAGAGGCGATGACGGGGCCGCGAAGAGCGGCGACGGGGCCGCTAGGGGTTGGAAGGTGCGCGCAAACGTCCCCCAATATCCATTTTGCGCTCTCAATACTGCTTAGGAAACGATATCGCTGATCTCTGGTTCGGCAGTCCTTCTCCTTCCCGTGGAAAGGATTGGCTCGCTGATCTCAGGTTCGGGAACCCCGAGGTGACTTTTGAGCCGAATTAGAAGTCTCCGTTAAGTGCAAAAGATCGCCTCGCTAATCTCAGGTTCGGTAATCCCGGCAATGTACGGTGCAATCTACCAACAAACACTGTGCGATATTGCACCCAAAATCAGGAGAAGAGGAGCGTGTCGTCCGCAAATGGCGGGAGGGAGGGAGGGTGGGAAAGAGCGAAGGAGGGTTTGCGGGTCGCGGCGTACTAGAGGAGCGACGATGAAATCAAAGCCTCCTGCCAAGTTCGCCGCCAATGTGTGATGGATGTCCTCGCTATAAGCGACCTCCGCACCGCAGTATCGCGATTCGCTCGCGTCGCCGGCTCTTTGACCGAGCGGCATGGCTGACGTGGGCGGCGTGATCGCACGAGTCTGGAGAGAGAGATTTCGCTGAACTTTGCAGCAGTCAGGCCTGCTTGACTAACGAGCGCTAACGAGGTATCTAGGAAAAATATCACTCGTTACTAATCTCAGTCTTGGGTCTGGGCAACACAAGTGCTGATAGAGGAAGTGACACAAGCCGGGTTTCCACAAAGGAAGTTGGCAACGAAATTAAAGCTCTGATAAGAAAAATATTCCGCGGATCGCAATTAGATGTTGTAGCAGCTGGACGTACATTGTACACTATAGCGCGTGTGCTAGAGGGGGCTAATTCTCTCAGAGCTGATGGCACGGAGGTTTGTCTCGTGTGCACGCTTGCAACGAGTGAATGACAACTTTCTGTATCTGACCTCATATGTATACAGAAACTCCCTTCACCTCATTTCCCACCATTTGACTTCCCAGTTTTAGGGCGTGTAACCATTTTGCATTTTGTGATTTTGGCGTACCGCCTGATTATATGGAGTCGGACGGTACGTTTAAAACGAAACGGACTGTCCGATTTGAATGTTTGCAACTTCGGACGGTACGAATGCATATGTGACACTTTTTCCACATGCTAGGGTTCCGCGATGGTTTTCCCTTCGCCATCTCAAATGTACACCAGTAACGCCAGTCACAACCCATCGCAATTTTCGCCTGTTGAGTTCAGCGCTTCGGACAAACATAGGAAATTTTCAAACAAGCACAAAGGTCAATGTCGTGGCTTCTTGTATTGTAGTATGGCTAGTTGTGATTGGTTAATGTCAATTTTTGCATCCGAGTCGCATTTTTCCATGTTTTGGCGAGGCGGTCCGCTGAAATCCATTTTCGCCCGCCAATCGCGTGCGCGGACAGGCGGACAGTCCGTTTGTGATTCGGACCGTCCGTTGTCAGAGTTTCGTGTCGTTGGAAAGCGGAAAAAGTGTCATGACGTTTCGAATTTGTAACGACGTCCCACACGTCCTCGCGAAGAACTGCACGACATTAAACGATGATGGTAACCCTTCGCATCGACGTACGGTCCACGGTTCGTTCCGTCGAGTGCAAAATGGTTACACGCCCTTAGTCGACCGACTTGAATGCTAGCTCTGATGTAGTCTTGCCATGCCAACTTCTTTGAACCATTGTTGTCAACTTTCTCTAGTGAAACTCTTGCCAATTCTCCCCATGAACTAGCAAGCTGTATGTGCACTAGGAAAACGACTAAGGACCAACGAACGCAAAGATCACATGAGAACCCGTGCCAAGCCCGTAGTCTAGCTCCCGTTGTAGTAGTTATCTCCGCAAACTCTGCATCTACGGCTGCAGGATCGAGCGAGCGAGAATTGCACTATCGAAGCAAAAGCACAACGAGCACAGGCATGAGCGAATAATATATAGAAAAATTACAATGGTAATGGTAATGTGTGGGAAATAGTGTGCGCGACGGGCCTAGCGCCGAGGTTGGGATGTGTCGAGGCGGAGGTCCGGAGCGCGTCAGCGATGTTGGTGCTACCACGTAGGTGCAGATAGACGGTCGTGTCGCCGGGCTTATTGCACTAGATGTCAGGTAGAACTCATGTCAACAGGTTCGCATGTCGAATATGTTGGGAACAAATAATCAAAGTACGCATCTGTCGTGTCGAAACACCAAGTCAGAAGCAAAGCAGAGCATATCGAAGCATCAGTGAGTCAACCCTCGGAGGTTGAAACAACTGTTGGATTTTACGCGAAAGTCAAAGGTCAGCAACCTTTGACCTGACAAATGCAGCGCGAAAGCAAGGACACACAACTTACTCGATATTGAGCAGAGGGGGTGGCGACGGGGCCTCCAGGGGCGGCGTCGGGGCCGCTAGGGTCGGCGACAGGGTCGAAGAGGGGACGTAAGGGGCCTAGAGGGGGCGGCGACGAGGCCGCAAGGATCGGCGACGGGGCCGCGAGGGGCCTGGAGGAGCGGCGACGGGGCCTAGAGAGGCGGCGACGGGGCCGCGAAGGGGCCGCGAAGGGCCTAGAGGGGCAGCGACGGGGCCGCGAAGGGGCCGCAAGGGTCCTAGAGGGGCGGCGACAAGGCCGCTAGAGGTGGCAACGGGGACGCAAAGGGGCCGCGACGGGCCTAGAGGGGCGGCGACGGGGCCTAGAGCAGCGACGACGGGGCCGTAAGAGGGGCCGTGAGGGGCCGCGAAAGGGGCCGCGAGGGGCCTGAGGAGGGCGCGACGGGCCGCTAAGTGCTAGGGGCGCGACGGGAGGGAGGGCACACGGGGCGCGACTCGGGCAGGAGGGAAGCGCGCTCTGGGCAGGAAAAAAAAAAAATCAGTGGTGGGCCCTAGGAAACATTCCCACTAGGGAACCTGCTCTATACCATGTGAAAGAACAAGGAATGATTGCATTGAGCAGCATGAGGAGTACAAGTAGGAAACCCTAAAGTGTTGTACCCCATATGAGCTACCCCACTACAGCCTACACAGACTATAGCATATAAGTTTGACACTGCGGTGAGGTAGGAGGGCGTACCTGGTCGCGGGGCTTCTAAACTCACATGTGGGGGAGAGAGGGTGGGGTGTGGAAGAAAGAGGTGTGTGTCCGAGGGGTAAGTACAGGGCTTCTAGACTCGACTATGGATGGCGCTTCGGGAATGGAAGGGGTGAGCACAAGCGGCCTCAACCACCCCAGGTCTTACCGTCCATACTTCTTTACCCGCCCTTACCAACCCCACGACTTGCCTCCTCTAGCAGCTCTGTAATACAACTTCTTGAACGTTCGCTTGCTCGCTCTGTCATTGCCACGTATAAACCAAACTCTCATCCACTTCCTACACGTGAAAGAAGATTGGCTTTGACACGTCTCAGAACCAATCTGATTTCATCTATCAAAATCACGTACAAACCAAACTCTCATGCACTTCCCACCCGACAAATGTGTTATTTTGAGAATACTAAAAAAAACCCTTGAGAATTCTCACGAAAACCCTACCAACCTAAGTCTCATCCACTTCCTATCCGACCCATGTGTTATCCCCTTCCTTCCCGCTCCCCTCCCTCCCTCTATCCTACCCACTCCATGCCCTACCTCCTCTAGCTGCCCTAGCATCTCCACTTGCAATTGCACTGTTCCCATTGATGGTAAGCGGTTTCTCTTTTTCGGCACCCAACCGCACTATCTTTTTCGCCTGACCTGCCATTGCCACTGCCACTGCCACTGCCACTAGTGCTTCTCCATTTAACCAACATTTCATCACCATCCCTCCACACCATCCCTGCACCATCTCGCAGGTGTGGCTCGGGTGTTCCTGGGGGATGACTCTGTGACTGGACTAAAACGGAGGAGAGCTCCTGGGATCTCCTCATGCCAGAGATTTTTGCTGCCCTGATGGACTTTTTTGCTTCTGGGCAGCCGGTGCTGAACCCCCAGGCAGAGGCAGCAGCAGCTAGTGGGGAGCAACAACCGGCAGAGGTGGGGTGGGGGGAGTGATAGGAGTAGAGAAGGTGAGGTGAGACAGAGGTGGGGTGGGAAATTGCAGGAGTAGAGAGGTGAGTTGGATAGGTGCGGTGCTGAACCCCCAGGCACAGGTAGCAGTAGCTGCAGAGGTGGGGTGGGGATCAACAACCCACAGAGGTGGGGTGGGGAGCAACAACCCAAAGAGGTGGGGTGGGGTGAGTGATGAAGTGGGGAGAGGGGTTGGGGAATGAGGGGCAGAGATGGGGTAGAGGAATGAAGGGCAAAGGTGGGGTGGGGGGAATGGCTTATCAGTACAGGCGCAGTGGGGGAAAGTGGTGTGATGAGGTGAGGTGCGGTGGCAATGGTTAGGAGTAGAGGTGGGGTGGTGTGCATCAACCTGAAACGGTGCTGAGGTTACTAGAGCTGAAATTCGTTCTTTCTTTACTCGGCTCCTCCCCCCTTGTCTTTCTTCAGATCGAGAGTGAGATGGTGCTGATGATGATACAGTAGTCGTGGGCTGAACTCACACCTCCCCCTGCTGTTTCCCCCGCCCCCATTGACCACCCCTCTCAGGAGGAGAGTGAGACGGTGTTGATGATACGCGAGTTGCTGGAGACTCGCTTTCAACCCGCTCCCAGCCAATCTCCCCGTGTCTTCTCCCCCCTTCGCCAACCCCTCCCAAACGCTGCTTCCCCTTCAGGAGGAGAGTGAGACGGTGCTAATGATAAGGGAGCTGCTGGAGAATGCTTCGTAGCTTCTCTCCTCTGGTTGCCCTTTCTTTTCCCATTTGAATGTGCGCATTTTCCCTCCCGCCTTTGCCACCCCTCTCAGGATGAGAGTGAGACTGTGCTGATGATAAGGGAGCTGCTGGAGACGCGCATTCGACCGGCAGTGCAGGAGGACGGAGGGGACATTGACTTTGTTGACTTTGACGAGTGAGTCTGACTTGGTTGACTTTGACCAGTGGGTCTGACTTTGTTGACTTTGACGAGTGAGTCTGACTTGGTTGACTTTGACTAGTGGGTCTGACTTGGTTGACTTTGACGAGTGAGTCCGACTTGGATTCACATTGTTGACTTTTGAGATGTCTTAAAAGGTCGACCGGCATTGCAGGAGGACAGAGGGGACAATGACTTTGTTGACTTTGACGAGTGAGCGCTTCACGTCACCCGCTTGCCATGTCAAACACTTGCCACGTCACCCTCTTGCCACATCATCACCTTGCCACGTCACCCTCTTGCTGTGCCTGCCCAGGCCTTTTTCTTATGCCTCACCAAGCATGATCGCACGCCCGTGTCACCTTGCGTACCATCCACGCCACGGGAATCGTGCATCTGTGCATGAAAGGCGCTTGCAGGGGCTGTTCAAGCCATGGCATCCTTCTTAATCCAGCTCTGATTGTTGTGCCCTCCCTCTCCTCACTGCCACCCATTCCTGCAGGGCCACGGGAATCGTGTACCTGCGCATGAAAGGGCGCCTGCAGTGGCTTCCCCTGCCCTGTGCGTCGCCCTTCATATAACCCCTCACATCCTGTTGTGTGTTACGCTCTCCCCTCCCCTCACTGCCACGGACCCACCAGGGCCACGGAAATCGTGTATCTGCGCATGAAGGGTGCCTACAGTGGCTGCCCGAGCCTTGTGTGCGGTTTCATTTAAGCCTGTGTGGTTTGCTCTCCCCACCCCCCACTTGCTTGCCAACCATCCACCCCCCAGGGCCACAGGAATCGTGTATCTGCGCATGAAGGGTGCCTGCAGTGGCTGCCCGAGCCTTGTGTGCGGTTTCATTTAAGCCTGTGTGGTTTGCTCTCCCCACCCCCCACTTGCTTGCCAACCATCCACCCCCCAGGGCCACGGGAATCGTGTATCTGCGCATGAAGGGTGCCTACAGTGGCTGCCCGAGCCTTGTGTGCGGTTTCATTTAAGCCTGTGTGGTTTGCTCTCCCCACCCCCCACTTGCTTGCCAACCATCCACCCCCCAGGGCCACGGGAATCGTGTATCTGCGCATGAAGGGTGCCTGCAGTGTCTTGTTGTAGCAATGGCATCGTCTCATTTCAAATGGCATCGTACAGACATGTCCAAGCTAGCATGCAATTATTCTTAAGCAATCAACTATCCATAATTGGTCCCATTTCTACGGGGTGGGTGGGCGGGAAACTAGGCTAAGCCGTTTGAAAATGAAAGACGTGGGTGGAGGGAAATGACCTCCAGCCCACGTTTTGTACTCCAAAACGGGCGTTTAGCGCGGTTCGCCGATGACCATTGCTACATTACAAGCCGCTTCGCTTTCAAAATACAAAATTTTGAAAAGCGTTACAACTTTTAAAAATATTCATATCTCCAACGAACACATACCCACCCAACCAACAATTGCTGAACTTCACGCGAATAATGTGACAATGGAGCAGCAGCAACAACCGGCTGGTTTGAAAATATCAGGACAAAATTGGAGCTGGCCGATAAAGCCAGTGCTAAGCTATTTAGGTATGGGACATTTTGTTGCCTCGTCTCTACTGTAGTAGCCTTGTTGGTAAAGAAATCTGAAACATTGGAATTGAACCACAAATTGCACTACATGACAGCCCACCACCACATGCAATACATCATCAACCCTGAGATGCGAAGAAAGCACAAGCAAAGCAGAAACGTCAATTTTCTTTCCTAACCCCTTCTACGTATCCTTGCAGCCCATCTCTTGCCTTCTATTTCCTACCCACCACGCCTCCCTCACAAAGGTGTTTTCAAAGAGAAACAAGCACGCAGACACACACAAGCGGAACCACTGCCACAAGCTCGCCACATCACAAGCCACGGGCCTTCTAGAGCCCCCCCTTCCCCATGCATTAGACCGGGTCATTCGGTTGCCATTCGCCGCATCTCCCTGTGTAGAAGGACCAAGCCACCCTGCCGCCCTGCAACCCTCCATTGCACGTTTGCTGGCTGCTTTTCGAATCAAATGCTGGGTGCAGCACTGCTGGCAGCACTGCTCGCAGCACTGCTGGCAGCGGTGGGCTTGGGGGCTGTGCCCGAGGTGCCCTTTGCTCCCAGCGCATGCGCGCCAGAGTTGAGCTTACCTCCCGCCTGATTCTTCGAAACCGCCTTCCCGCCAGCAGCGCCGGGAGCGGCGGCCGTCTTCAGGGCTGCTGCGCCCGAGTTGCGCTTACGAGCTCCCGCGGGGCCAGTTTTCTTCCCGCCGCGGCGCCCAGCTTTCTTCCCTCCGCGGCGGTGGTGCTTCTTCTTGCCCTTGTTGGGCGGGACTCCGACCATGGAGCCGATCGAGTTGCGCACGTTCCTCCCCGCCTGCCCGACAGCTTTCTTCACGCTGCCGCTGAGGTCGTCCGACGTCTGCTTCAAGTCCGCCGCTGCATCCCCCATCGAGAGAAGCACCCGCGAGTCCTCCAAGTCAACGGAGTCGAAGTCAACCGAGTCAACGGAGTCAATCGCGGCATCACTGTCGGCCGCCTCGAGGAGCGCGCGCGGCTCGTTTGCAGCAGCGGGAGCAGCGGGGGACTCGGGTGCTGCGCCCGAGGTGTCCTTAGCTCCCGCCTCCTGCTTCTTAGGAGCCCCCGTCGCGCCAGCAGCGGCAGCAGCGGGCTTCTTGGGGGTTGCGCCGGAGTTGAGCTTACCTCCCGCCCCCTGCTTCTTCGGAACCCCCGCAGCGGACGTCTTGGGGGCTGCCGCGCCCGATTTGCGCTTACGAGTTCCCGCCAGCCCAGTTTTCTTTCCGCCGCGGCGCCCAGTTTTCTTCCCGCCGCGGCGCCCAGTTTTCTTCCCGCCGCGGCGGTGGTGCTTCTTCGTGCCCTTGTTGGGCGGGACTCCGACCATGGAGCCGATCGAGTTGCGCACGTTCCTCCCCGCCTGCCCGACAGCTTTCTTCACGCTGCCGCTGAGGTCGTCCGACGTCTGCTTCAAGTCCGCCGCTGCATCCCCCATCGAGAGAAGCACCCGCGAGTCCTCCAAGTCAACGGAGTCAACGGAGTCAAGCGAGGCATCGCTTTCGGCCTCCAGGAGCGCGCGCTGGTCGTATGCTTCTTCCAGCGCCGGCTCACTCGCGCCGTAGTACCCATCCGGCGGAGGCTGCGCCGCGAAAACCGCGAGGAAGTTTAGAGACGCCACGAGGACGAGCGCGAGCAGAAAGCGATGACGAAGCGCGCCCATGATAGAGTTCGATATGGCAGTCTTCTGAGATGGGAAAGAACCGCTGAGGGGGTTGGTACTGAATTTGTTTAGCTGCTGTTACTAGCGGTGAATGAGTTGTTTCCAACTTCCTCAGCGTTAAATACGCTAGCGTGAGTGCCGAGTGCAGACTTTGCTGGAATATTGCGGCTCGACATCAGAGGAGGCGTTTCAGCCCCATGATGCCTCTCGTAGCGCCTCGTTCGATTGCTGGACCTCATGGTACCGACGAATGCGGCGCTTATCGCTATCGCTGGGGAACTGGCCACCACGTTTGCTAATGCTCTGGTATTTGTGACGCACATTGAAATTATGAAACATGTGAGTGCTGGTTGGTTTCCTGGCGCGGTTGGGTTCTGTGAGAGGGGTATTGAAAACCAGCGGGTAAGTGAAGTTTTCCAGCGGTCAGGACTGGTGCAAGGTTTTTGTTGTGGGGATCGAATGTAAGTGGGGGGATCATAATGTACAAGTAACGCGGGGTGTGCGGCCGAGCAATAATTGCACACCTAGTGCGAAAACCTTCGCACTCACCACACATTGTGGTTCGCGTTTGCGATTCATGCACATTTCAACTGTAATGTTTTCAGGATATATAATCATTGCTTTTTCTCTCCATAACCATTTGTTGTCAATTTACGCACAGAAAATGGATGTTAACATGTATTTGGGATGCTAGCATGTGTAAATATATATAAAAGAAAATGAACAAAATATATTGAGCCCGTTTGCTGTAGGCCCTTTATTGAAATCACTGAATCACTGAAGCTCGGTTGCTGGACTAGCTTTGCCATCTTCAGGTGCTGGAGTGACAACAAGCATGGCCGCAGCAGCAGTTCCTTCACGTGGAAGCTCTTTCAAGTCGAGACAGCTGTTAAAATCAGATCAAATCAAATCATTAACTGTTCTGTACACAGCGAATCAACACAACTGTTTTGAGACACCTCCAAATAAGAAATTAGACACAGCAAAGCAGCAGTGATTCACACAGATTCCCCAAACAGCACAACACGCTTATCAATATTCTAGCTGATCATAATCACTACATGACAAACTTGAGGCAGCGGGTTTCGTTGTGCAGTCTTTGGCAGCTGATGCAGCAGAAGCGGGCGGCACAGCGGGGGCATGTGTAGGGCGCGTGGCTGCCACACGCAGAGCAGAAGCGGCGCACTGAGGCGGCTGTTGGAGGGCCCACTGCTGCTGTGAGGTAGGAGGGCGTGCCTGGTGGCAGGGTCTCTAGATTCGCCTGTGGGGAGTGAGGAGTGGGCATGGAAGTGAGGGAGAAGCATGGCAGGGGTGAGCACACAAACAATACACAGAGGCAGCAGCCGGGCTCCACTGCTGCTGTGAGGTAAGGAGGGCGTGCCTGGTGGCAGGGCTTCTAGACTCGCCGATGGGGAGAGAGGGTGGTGGGGTGTGGGAAGAAAGAGGTGTGTGTCCGAGGGGTAAGTACAGGGCTTCTAGACTCGACTATGGATGGCGCTTGGGGTATGGAAGGGGTGAGCACAAGCAGCCTCACCTGCCCCAGGTCTTACCCGCCCCAGGTCTTACCCACCATACTTCTTTACCCGCCCTTACCAACCCCACGACTTGCCTCCTCTAGCAGCTCTGCAAGAAAACGTCTTGAACGTTCGCTTGCTCGCTCTGTCATTGCCACGTATAAACCCAACTCTCATCCACTTCCTACCCGTGAAATAAGATTGGCTTTGAGACGTCTCAGAACCCATCTTATTTCATCCGTCAATGTCACCTACCAACCGAATTGTCATCCACTTCCCACCCGACCGATGCGTAATTTTGGAAAATTCTCAGAAAAACCTTGAATAAAAAAAAAAAAAAAAACAAAAAAGTACTCGGGAAAAAAAAAATTTTACCAACCAAACTCTCATCCACTTCCTATCCAACCATGTGTTACCCCTTCCTTCCCCCTCCCCTCCCTCCCTCTATCCTACCCACCCCATGCCCTACCTCTTCTAGCAGCTCTGCAAACGTCTTGGGAGTTCGCTTGCTCGCTCTGCTCACCACGGCAGCAGCAGCCTGTCTCGTGCGCCTCTTGCCCGGACGGCTCACTCGCTTGGCTGGTGCGAAGCCTGGTGGGCACTCCAAGGAGCGCGTACGAGGAATGGACCGCACAGGCATGGGAGGGAAGGGAATGACTGCCTCGTTCACCTCTTGCCCGGACGGCTCACTCGCTTGGCTGGTGCGAAGCCTGGTGGGCACTCAAGAGTTGACTCAAGATTTGTCTCAAGAGTTGACTCAAGAGTTGACTCAAGAGTTGACTGAAGGGTCGACTCAAAAGTTGACTCTCAGAGAGCCTGCCTTGTGCACCTCTTGCCTCGGATGGCCAGAGTCAAACGTGGTGGGCAGTTAAAGGAAGACGGGAACGAAAGGGGAAGATAGCAAGGGCGAACGCATCAAACGGGGACGGAAGGAAACACACAAATGAGGAGCACAATAAGGAAGAAGAGCGACAGAATGTCGTTAAACTAGAGAGGGCGTCTAGATAATATGAATAACACGAAACACAAAAGTCAAATCGATTTGCCTCACCTTAACCGGAGCTCTGGTTGTTGCTGATACCTTCCATCATCCTAACTATTTAATCGGTAATATCTGGCAAGCACATCAGACAGAGGGTTGTCAGGTTGGCTTCCCGCAACATATCGTGATTCGTGCCCCTAGCAAGCATTCGTGCCCCTAGCAAGCATTCGTGCCCCTAGCAAGCATTCGTGCCCCTAGCAAGCATTCGTGCCCCTAGCAAGCATTCGTGCCCCTAGCAAGCATTCGTGCCCCTAGCAAGCATTCGTGCCCCTAGCAAGCATTCGTGCCCCTAGCAAGCATTCGTGCCCCTAGCAAGCATTCGTGCCCCTAGCAAGCATTCGTGCCCCTAGCAAGCATTCGTGCCCCTAGCAAGCATTCGTGCCCCTAGCAAGCATTCGTGCCCCTAGCAAGCATTCGTGCCCCTAGCAAGCATTCGTGCCCCTAGCAAGCATTCGTGCCCCTAGCAAGCATTCGTGCCCCTAGCAAGCATTCGTGCCCCTAGCAAGCATTCGTACCCCTAGCAAGCATTCGTACCCCTAGCAAGCATTCGTGCCCCTAGCAAGCATTCGTGCCCCACAAACTATGCGTGCCTTTGTGCATTGTAGCGACCCGTAACACCTCCTGGCATGGAAGCGAGGGAGAAGCATGGTGGGGGTGAGTTGCCACTTGTACCCTAAGCTGTGCTTCCTCGTTATGAGACACGTCCCACACCCCCTTCTTTCCATGCACCGACTGAGTCGACCATTCAGCACACCTCCTTTTCCCTCGCTATAAGCATGCCCTTATTGTCCATTACTCGCTATAAGCATACCTTCTTGCACCAGTTCCTCCTCTGCATTGAACACGTCATCATCCTCATCCACAGCAGCATCCACCCCGGTGTAGTCACTCTCTAGAGCCTCCAGTCGCGCCGCTGCTGCCTGGGTGCATGCGAGAGGGTGGGGAACAGGTGAGAGAAAGGAAAGGTACACGTTGTACCAGTATCATCTCATCATCCTCATCCACAGCAGCATCCACCCCGGTATAATCACTCTCCAGAGCCTCTAATTGAGCTGCTGCTGCCTGGGTGGGTGGGTGGGTACACTGGAGACAGAGAGAAACACAACAGGGAGGGATGCATGAAAAAAAAAAGAGGAGGTATTCACTCTCAGGAGAATCTAATCGTGCTGCTGCCTCGGAGAAACGCAACAAGGAAGGCAAATGAGATGCCTGTTTGAGAGCGAAGTGAGCGAGAGAGAGAAATGTCAGAGAAAGCGAGTCTCGTCTCTCCGCTTCCCCTCTACTCCATTTGTTCCAGTCTCGCCCCTCACTCCCTGTACCATTTTTGACAAGTCTTATGAGCAATTTTGGAGCAATTTCATGATTCGCCTCCCTTGGTTTCACTTTAAACAGCACGCGCTCAGTCACTCGTTTCCGCAACACAGTCCCACGAATCACTCCCTCGCTCCTTGACCTTCTCAATCACTTAGCACATCAACCACTCACTCGTTTCCTTGCACCTTCATCCAGCATCGGAGCCACCAGATCTGCCGCCACCTTGCGTTGCCAGTTTGAATAACAGCCATTTACTCGTTTCCTGTCCCGTACAATCACACACACATCACTCACTCACTCACTTCCGCGTGCCCTCATCCAGCATCACAGCCACCACATCAGCCGCCACCTTGCGTTGCCTCAGCGACCCTCTCCTCTCCGCTGCTGCTGCCACTGCCGTCGCGCCTTTGGACCCGCCTTTGAATGAATCCATTGCGCCTGGCGGAGAGGGTGGAGGAAAGGGGACGGGGGGGGGGGGAGAGGAGGGGGGGACGTGAGGAAAGTGGGGGGAAAGTGGGGGGAAAGTGGAAGGAAGGAGGGTGATGGGGGAAAGGGGACGGAGAAGCAGAGGAGGGAAGGGGAACAGGGAGGAGGGAAGGGGAACATGGAGGAGGGAGAGGGAACAGGGAGGAGGGAAGAGTGAGCGAGCCTTGCATTGCCTCAGCGACCCTCTCCTCTCCGCCGCTGCTGCCACTGCTGCTGTTGCGCCTTTGGACCCGCCTCTAAATGAATCCATTGCGCCTGGCGGAGAGGGTGGAGGAAAGGGGAGGAGGGGGGGGAAGGGGGGGGGGAGAGGATGGGGGGACGTGAGGAAAGTGGGGGGAAAGCGGGGGGAAGGAGGGTGATGGGGGAAAGGGGACGGAGAAGCAGAGGAGGGGAAGGGGGATGGCGGAGGGGGAGTGAGCCTCAGCGATCCCCTCCTCTCCTCTCCGCCGCTGCTGTGGCGCCTTTGGAGCCGCCTTTGAATGAATCCATTGCAACTGGTGCCTGCACAGAGAAGGAAAGGCAAGGAGAGGATAGGCGGACCTGGCACTGGAATAAGGACGACATGCAAGGCCAGTCAGCGATGGGGAGCGGTGAGGAACGGTGGGGAACGGCGCAGGGAGGGAAAAGCGCAAGGTGATTTTAGGTCGATGTGGAAGAAACGAACGGGTAAAGTAACGCATTGCCTTGGGCATTACAGGTAACGTACCGGCTTTTCGTAGTTCGATCGTTCCAGAGCGGCAGCAGTGCTAACCGCGAGTAGAGTGACAGTGTAGTGACAGTGACAGGGTTACAGGCGTTCCTTGAGTCAATAGCGAGGTGACTACGTAATTCGAAATCCGTACGGGAGGCGTAAAAACGTTGGCACACTACGGATTTTTGCGCTCAGAAGCATCTGTTCTTGAGCATTCGCGCATCGCAACGGCGTCGCGTTGAGAAGGTGCCGAACGCGAAAAAGTCAGCACGTGATATTGCTGTGGAATAAGATGTGCCAAACTGTCAGCGCTGATGGTAACAACATCAGCGTGGGGTTTTAACAATCAGCATATGTTGTTGTGACAATTAGCAGCGCTGATGGTACTTGGGGTCACAACAATATCATCATGTGCTGTGTTTGCTGCACAGGCTGTGGTCAGCTGCCTGGGTTCGCTAAGTTGCATATGCTGTGGTGACGCACGCATGTGCAGCATAGGCTGCGGGCGACACCTGTTACCGGCTGACGAAATCAACATGTCTGCGCACGAAACTGACGAATTCTGTGCAGATGGTCAGCATTGTTCGCTTCTTGACAGCTTCAAGGTTGGCTTGGGTTGAAGGTGGTACTGTAGATTAAATCTGCTTTCCAATTGCGTTTTTGGAGGTGTGAGCGTGCATTCAAGGTTGGCGATCGTGCACTCACTCATTCACGAACATCGCAAGCCCAATGGTTGGGTTTCGGTGCGAAGGCTGACACCATTGCAAAAGTGTTGTGACTTGATTCGATGGTAGCATTTTCCACACAGTTCATCATGAAAGGTCATATATCAAAAGAATTATTACAGCCCACCAAATAACAAAATAATGAACAAATAGTATCAGCCCACCGGAAAAAGGGAAAATAAACAGCAACCAGTGGACTAAAAGCTAGCAAGAAAGAAAGAAGCCCACCACACTATACACACAACGGGATAACCAAACGAATGCCGGTGACAACATTCAGGCCAACATGAGAGACTACAACATATCAATCAGCCCACCAGAGAGAGCACACCAGGGCATTCGCCCAAGACGGACAAGCACACCACACCAGAGCAGCCACAGCACCACACAATCAGCACCATACCATACATTTCAGCGTATCACACCAGACATTCCCTCAACAAACGCAGCCCACCATACAATACACCCAGCAGCACGTCGCCGCATTACGGAAACCGAGACACGAGCATGACGTACTGTGCACGGTCAAAAGCAGTGTACGCGCAGTCAACCGCGAGCACACGGCTCGCCTCGTACGACCTCGGAGTACTATCCAGGAACCCCTCTCCCTCAGCGCCATCCGCGGTAATTGGGTGGTTAAGCGTCGCAATAAGCCGTTGGAAATCCGCCGCGCGTTGGGCATGGTCCTCGCGGTAGGTCTGCCCGAGCACGCCGTGAATATCGTCCGTGCGCTCCAACTCCGCGATCCCGACATTCAGATGCACCTCCGCGTCTGACGGCGTCTGCAGCTTCGGGTGTGCGACGCGGAGCCTCAAATCGAGCGCCACGAGACCGTCGATGGTTAGAAGGTAGTAATCCATGGCGATCGGCCCCTACATTTCGTGCGCGTGAAATTCGATCGCGGGTCTACCAGTGCTGGTAACCACGTCGCCGAGCTACATGCGGGGGATCATCTTGGCGTCGATCTCAATGGCCTTCATAAACCCGTCGCAGCGCTCTTGCCGCTTTCCGCCACGCGCCGCAAGGCGAAGTTTGTGGTCAACGCCGTCGGCAGTCCAGATAATCCCGAGCTCCCTGCACGACGGAAGAACGAGAAAGTTCAGTAGAAACAAACGAGTTAGCATAATTCTCGATAGAGCAGACATATTTTGAGAAAGCCGTCGCACTCTTTGTCAGAACGCTAGGCAGGAATGAATGACTAGAGGATGAGTTTGGTACAAAAAGGCAACCCTAAACTGGTGTACCCCTTATTGTCAACCCCACTACAGCCTAGACAATAACCTAAGCCATATATATGTTTGACATACCCCCATAGGCAAAGTGGGGAAGAACAAGGTGCGAGAAAATGAGGAATGATTGCATTGAGCAGCATGAGGAGTACAAGTAGGAAACCCTAAAGTGTTGTACCCCATATGAGCTACCCCACTACAGCCTACACAGACTATAGCATATAAGTTTGACACACCCCCATAGGCAAAGTCGGGGAGAACAAGAGGTCACAAGACCAGTCAAGCAAAGCAAGGCAAGCTCAGGGTGGATCACAACATCACCACACAATCTGAGCATAATCACAAGGCCACAAGGCCAGTTCACATGCAGAGTTATATATCAAGATGAACAAACAAGACAATGATCTCAACCTAGCAAGGGTAAGCATGCAAGTGCAGGGATATATGGTTCACAGTACAAGCAAAGTCAAGAAGTGAGCAAGTGAGGCCAAGTAGGCACAAGACCTAGCATCGTACAAAAGCGCTGATGATCACAAGACGGAAGTGCCTTGGTAAAGATATCAGCAGTGTTGGCATCAGAGGCCACGTAAGCAAGGCGCAGCTGACCACGCTGCTGCAGCTCACGAGCAAGGAAGTAGCGAAGAGCAATGTGCTTCGTTCTGTGCTCCAGCCTGTACTCTCGACACAAGGACATCATGGCCTTGTTGTCTACTTATTGAACTGGAGGAGAACGAGGCGGCTCTCCTAGGTCAGTCAGCAGGTAGGTGAGCCAGCGTAGCTCTCGTGCCGCCATGGCCCCCGCGTAGATCTCAGCCTCACAGCTGGAGCCGAGAACAGAAAACAAGCGGGTAGACCGCTACGAAACACAGCCCGAGCCAAGGCTGAAGGTGTAACCCTGTGACGACCGCTGCGTAGCCTGGTCGTCAGCCCAAGAAGCGTCTGCGTGACCTGTGAGGACCACTGGACGTCGCCCTCCAAGCACTAGCCCCATGCCCGACGTACTGCACAAGTAGCGCAACACCCTCTTCGCTGCAGCCATGTGCTCTGGTCGGTGTCTCCCAGGAGCAACATAGCGTGCCAAGATGCTAAGAGGGTATGCTAGGTCAGGTCGTGTGCAGGTCATCAGGTACATGAGGCAGCCAACAAGCTCTGGGTACAGGCCACTCGGCTCAACGGACTCATCCGAAGGCAGAGCTGAGAGCGAGTGGCGAGTAAACAGAGGAGTGGCCTGAGGCGAGGAGTACGTGAAGTCGAAGCGCTGAAGGACCTGCTGCACCATGTGTGACTGAGTCAGGGTAATGGTGCGCTGTGCTCTGTCCTGGGTGATCTGCAAGCCAAGGTAGCTGCGCAGTTCACCCAGGTCTGTGCACGTGTGTCTCTTCTGCAGCTCGGACTTCACGTGGACGAGTCCAGCAGTGTCAGTTGTGGCAAAGACCAAGTCGTCGACGTACACGAGGATGTAGAATGGCGGCAAGGAGGTGTCGGTGCGCAGAAACAACGACGTATCGGCAGTAGACGGAGCAAAGCCAAGAGCCGCAAGTGTAGTCCTCAGTGTGTCGTGCCACTCACGGGGCGCCTGGCGGAGACCGTAGACGGGCCGTCGGAGGCTCCACCGGGTACCAGGAGGAAACGACCCAGTGAAGCCACGTGGGCGGCGCAACCAGATCTCCTCGTGAAGGCTGCCCTGCAAGAAAGTTGTGCTGAAGTCAAGAGAGTGAAGCTCGTAGTCACGTTGAGCGGCTATGTGCAGGAGCACCCGAAGAGTGGTCATCTTCGGGGTGGGGGAGAAGGTCTGAAAGTAGTCAACTCCCTGCCGCTGCCTGAAGCCTCGAGCCACGTAACGCGCCTTGAAGACAGGCGGAGAACCCGACGGCCGCTTCACCCTGAAAATCCACATGCCACTGACGATGTTCGCCCCAGATGGGAGTACCTCGTCGACGTAGGTGCCTGTGGACTTCCAGGAAGCCATCTCTGCGTCCATGGTTGAATGCCACTGTGAGGAGTAGGGACCCTCGATCGCCTCAGCGTACGATCGAGGAGTCGGGATGTCTGGTGCATCCGGGTCTCACTCAGGGGCAATCAGCGTGGACACGAGATGAGGCAAAGCAGCAGCAAAACACTAGAACTCCTCCTGCTTGTCCTCAAGGACGTCCGTGCTAAGAGCACACTCACCCCCGACGGACGGAGGACAGACATACCCAGACTCAGCAACAAGAATAGCAGCGTAGTCTAGACGACAGGGAGCAGCAAAGTCGACAAGCTCAGCAACTAAGGCAGACGTAGTAGTGGACTCAAAAGAAGGGTCAGTGACAACAGTAGCCAGGAGACGCGTGACAGTAGGACTGGCAGCACGAAGAGAGTCAGACTCCGGGTCAGTAAGAGTAGGAAGAGAGGACTCTGGAGGAGACGGCAACGGGACACGCAGAGGAGCAGTGGAAGGACGCAGTGCCATCTGGTGTGTGCTTGGGACCGCAGGAGGACGCGGACGCGGAGCACGACCACTAGTGTGAGCAGCATGAACAGGCGACGCAGGACGAGACGCAGGCTAACGATGCTCAGCAAGACCTCCAGTAGGACCAGTGTAGGGAGAAGGAGCAGGCAGGGGGGAGGCAGGCTGTAACTGTGACCGCGACTGGACAGGCTGTGGACACGTTAAGGGAGGAGCAGGACCAGTAGATGGCGGGAGACCAAGAACCTGCTCAAGGAGCGGAACGAAGTACGGCCTCTGTCAAAGTTTAGAAGAAAGAAGAGAGGATTTGACTAGCAGTAGTTGGGATACATATAGCAAACCCTAACAGGGTTGTACTCGCTATAGAGCACCCCACTACAGGCTAGATAAGAACATTCTGACACACCCCCATAGCCAAAGTGGGGTGTAATCAGCAGAGCAAGCACGCATAGAACAAGCTCAGGGTGGATCACAATGTCACCACACATTCTGAGCACAAGTACAAGAAGCAACAGTTTAAAAGTTCACAATTATGAGCAAAGCTAGAGCAATCACAGCGGACAAGTGAGGAGGAGGAGGAGCTGTG